GCCATTCCTGACTTTGTACTAGTGACTTGGCAGTAGTTCTATGGTCTTGAGAAACACCTCACGCTATAGTTTTCTTTTCAAAGTCTTTGAATGTTTTTGTTCCCACCTCTGCCAGGTCTGCTCTGTACTGTTTGCCTCTTTTTAAATTCCTTGCCTCTGCTGCTGCTGCTGCTGCTGCTGCCTCTGCTGCTGCTGCTGACTCCCATTCTTGACAGTTGGAAATGCCTTCTGAGCATCAACAATTATTTTTCTCAGGCCATAACTTTTTGTTATCGGAATGCTATTTTCTTAAGTGCCAGCTTAGACAATTACTAAAAACATATTTTTTTTATATTCTTTGAAAAATAAAAAGTTAGTTTGTCATTGCAGCACAGCGACCTGTGCTAAGAAGAATTCTCAAGCGGCTACACACGAAGTCCTCCACTCTACGTGTTTCAGTGCACTGCCTGCGAGTCTTAAATCTCAAACTTTATTGAGCCTAACGCAGTCATGTAAAAACACAGAGTTTTCTATAACTAACAGAGGGAAATGTTCAACAGCACTCAGCTGGTCTTCCCTTAAAAGTCAGTGTTGCATGACATTAGATGAAATTAACACAAGGTGGAGGAGGAGTCAAGAGTCAAGAAGAGGAGTTCTCCTCATTTAAAATAAGGAATTTGAATTTGTCCTACAGTATTTGAAATATAATGGGGCAAAAACATGAACGAGTCCTGTCTAATATAGAAAATAACAGGTACGTAACATGGCAGCAGTCGCACTTCCAGCAACAAGTGGTGTCCAAATAAACATGTTAATTGCGTTATTATTATTCTTTTAATGCATTTTAACATAATAGCCAGGATGATGACACTGTACTTACAGTAATTCCACTGTCCGTCCCCTTGTCATTGCTCTAACATACAGTCAATCCATATACTGTTATTTGTACACATTGTGGGGAAGTATTTTTTCCATCACAAAGCAGCATGAGCATAAAGTACCATCCCAATGCCCAGCATGAGTTTGTGGAGGCTTCAACTTCAGGTCAGACACCCAGCTGGAGTTGAACTGGCCTCACTGCAGGGCAATAAATTAGTCCATGACTGACAGGCTGACTGACACAATCACCCAATGGATTAGCGAGGGACGGCAGGTGAATGATATTGTTGAGAACAAAGGCTTCACCAAAGACTTGAAAAAGCAAATCTCCAAGCCACCATCAAGGCAAACAGCAATGACGTTACATTTTGACTTTATACTTTTACACATTGTTATTGATTCTTTTCCCATCATTTTGATCAATCACAAGTCAATACAGATGTGAAACACATACTGTACATCTACCTGCAGTTATTGGTCTTTCTGTTCCAGCAATATAGAGAAATAAGTTTTTTGGGGGGAAATATTCAGGACTGGTGATTTTTCATGATTAATCAGCATTAATTCTGATTAATTACCAGCTACCCTGTGATCATTCAGATTGAAATTTATAATCATATGACAGCCGCAGTTGTAAGGAGCGTGTCCAGCACATGCGTTTCAGTCATGTCGACCGGACATATTTCACTTGACTACTGCAGTGAAAATTTTAAATTTACAACAGTAGTTGTAAATTTCATTTACAACTTCTCGCCGTGGTTGCATTCATGGCCCTCTAAGAATAAAGACCATCGTGAGGACGTTTGAATCGTTCCACTAAGCTCCTTCAACAGCTTGAGCAGATGATGTTTGTTTTATAAAAATCCACAGAAACAGCACCAAACAAAAAGACCAAATAAAAAATATAAAAAATACTAAACACTAAGAGAAAAAAAGAGTTTCTGTTGTGCAACTTCATCATCAGTCGACATGAACTGTTAACACTGGACCATTGATTGCAACAATCACGTGTTTTCTGTCCTTGTTTTATCTCCTTGTTCACACACTATACAAAAAATAAAAAAAAAGACAAACTTAAAATACTCCTCCAGTACCGTCATCACATGGAGGTCACATGGGTGGGGTCACGTTCCTGCTGGTGGGTGTGATAAAGGCAGACAGCGTGAGAGGAGGAGCATTGAATTTTATATCATGGTTAAAATATCTCACAGAAGAAAAACCTGAAAGTCTGAGTACTGTCACTAGGGCCAGGCCGAGGCCAGGTGATCGTCTCCTACTGGAAGACTGGAGCATCAGCATCACAGCAGCAGAAGCAGAACTAAATTAATCAAAAGCAGTATCAAATTACAGTATAAATGGGGCAGATTTCCTACATTTTAACAATGTTTTTTACAGGTCTTGTAAATCGTAGGTAGAAGCCTCTACGCAGACAGCGTGGGGTTTAATGACTAAGGTCTTAGCATGAAAATAGCTATAAAACTAGGGTCTAAGACTAGGGTCTTGGCTATAAAAAAAGCCCCCTCCCTTCATTTCCACATTCCCCTAACGGATAAATAAGGAGCCGTGATTAAAATAATGTGCTGAAATATTCATTGGAATGATCCTGCAGCAGCCACAATGAAAATTGCATTTTTATCCATTATTGATATAGGCAAATTACAGTTGTGGAAAAAAAAAAACAGTCCCAGCATGTGGCGACCATCTTTGTGAATGATTATATTTCAACATTAGGGAGGACCAGGGATAATTTTATTGCCGGCAGTCTAATGGAGACCATTAAGCAGCAGGACCAGCATAAGGTTACAGAGAGCAGTTTGGATCAGGGCTTTTATAAGCCTTTGTGCTGCTTTAAAGGAGAGAGCAACAAAGGAGAGAAACTGTCATCGATTCACTATTTAACAGGAAGCTACAAAACAAAGCACAGGGTTTAAATCCCTTAAATTCTACATTCCCACACAATATCCAGGATCATATCATGGCATTTGTGACCATCTCACAGCTCAGACGTGGATGAACCAGATGTGTCTGTAATGAGGTTCATTTCTTATATTCTCATATTATTTCAGCAATAATCTCAAATAGCCACAACGCTGCAGATAGATGCATTAATTATTGTGGAGGATCTATGAGACTGCAACAGCCTTAAGAGCACCTCCTTCAGGGTAGGGAGAGATACTACACGGTAATATCTTCTAATTTTAGGATCTTTGCTTAATTGACCTTTTAAGTAGCTGCAGC